TATACTACTTATTTCCAAAATTTGATTTTGAAATCCTACTATTAGTTTGAAGATATTACATTTTTTCTAAAAATGCATTTTTTTTATACTTCACTAATTTTTGCCCGTTAGGCATTAGTCAGTAAAGCGTACGCTGTAATCCGCCGATAGTGTGTTAAGACTCCGCTGAAAATCTTTTTCTTTTTCTTTCCATTTCAGAGACGAAGTGTTGGTTTTGTAAATAAATTTAATTGCAAAAAGTTAAGTTTTTGTTAAAACAAACGGACCGAACCATTGGTCAATGATGAAGACCTGCGACTTTCAGTTTTTTTGTCTGACGCACTGTTCTGCTAGCTTCACTATCCGAGGATTCAGATTCAGTATCGTTATAACCAGGCATTGGTACACCTTCTGATTTTGTGACTTCACAAGTTTCGGCTGCAAAGTTGCCCGTTATCTTTGCTTTTTCAAGCGCTCTAACTGCAAATAACACAAAAGTTAAACTCAACAGTGCATTTTAAATTTCTAGAGAATCTTGGAACAAAATCTAATTCGATTTTTATGCAAACTTTCTGTTTTCAGAGGCGATATTTACTTTGAGACTCCAAGAGACTATTTTGGCGTTTTAAGTCGTCGATATCCTGTTGATGAGAAGTGTTCTTACGACGCATAAACTGTATATACTCTGCAGCTTTCTTGAGTATCTGTGCTCTACTTGCAACCTTCTCTCCTTGCAATGCAGGTACAGAGTCCCTAAGGCTCGAAAAACTATCCTTAATGTGATCTCTTCGCTTGCGCTCCAATGCATTGTGGTGTGCCCGTTTTTCTGCCTGGAAACAAAGTTTTTTTATATTATACAACTTCAGCTTATTACACAAAATCATATAATATGTAGTTTATACAGAAATCTGATTTTCAAGCTATGTTATTTTCAAATATTCAACGGAATTATTTTGAAGGGCAAACTGATCAAATCGAATGGAAAGCGTCTATCTAACCTCAACAATATCTACGCCTGACATTTACAAAACTTGTTCGTACGTCAATTAAATAAGAAATGTTGAGTAAATAAACAGAATCAGGAGGGAAACAAATAATGCACCAGTGCACTTACTTGAGAATAATATTGGGTATTGTTTGAATGTCTCTGCCTAGAATCGGAATCGTCACCTTCCTGAAAAACGATCCCTTCTTAACAGGATTCGTTGAAAAAGAAAAAAAAAGAAAAAAAAAACTACTGTTGATTACTTACATCGCTCTCAATGTCAATGTCTCGATCATCGTCGCTCATTATAATCGCGTCGGTTGCGTCTGAATAATTGGTAAACAAAAGATCTTTACTGAATACCTAAGCAATATATACTATCTATAGACGTATATACGTACAGTGGATGCGTGGGAGTTAACAGAAAATTACTAAAATCCCTGGACAATAATCTAGGAATTTTATTTTGATCAGGTGCTCTCTGTCTGTTTATTTTTCGATAATTTCGTAACAGATAGAAAATCGCATCAAGAAATTGACCAAATAATTTCTGTAAATATTCTTCTCCTTATATTTAATTAACTAAATAACAATGTGCAGTGGAGTTTATTACGGATCAACTTTTAATTACTGCAAATGTTACAACACCTTTACAATTTTTCGATAGTTTATGTAATGACTTTAACATATTCGAATCAAAATGCAAATTTTATGTTAGACAGACTTATATTTAATAGAAACAATAAAACATTGTTATTGATTATTGATATACTGTATGTTTCTTTATACTGATATATTAATTGAAGTAAATTTGCATTCTTTTTGTATCTTATATTATAAAATAGATTATTTAACATTTATTACCATGTCATTTAATTTAATTAAGTTAGGTATATTAAGAGTATATGTATAATAACAGATAGGTAGGTATATTAAGAGTTATGTATAAGAACATATGTTATTATAATGAACACATAATATGCAATGAACTGCAAAATTATTATTAAAAGTTCATTTGAGTTTTTCAATTAGTTATTTAGAAAACTTAAACTGGCTTAAGATTGGCTATCTCGTTAATTAGTAAGTTTTTCAATAGTAAGTGGTCAAAGTGGTTAAAATTTATTGTTCGTTAGTTTTGGTTATGTGATAACCAAACAATGTTAGTATTATGTCATAACCTAACAGTATTGCCTTTTCAATTAACTACGAATATATTACAAAGATATTATTTGTCAGATTCTGTTAAATAATGAACCTGTATTCTTAAAATTTGATCTTCTTGTCTTTTGTGTTTAAGTTTATTGTTTCTTTTTCAAGTGCTAGGATTTTAAACATCAGATTGTTGAATGAAACAAGATATGTCCAAACAAGATTTCAGTCCAGCTTGTTTGAAACAAATGAAAGAAGAAAATATTATATAGCAGATTCTTTTTAAAATATGTTGTTTCATACATTCTTGGTATGTTGAATAAGTTGAAGTTATAAATTAAATAAGTTGAACATTTTATTGTTTTAGGCTTGTAAGGAAGTGCAATGAGCATGTATGTTTCCTATGCTGTAAATTCATCCATTTCTGAAAATTAATTTTATCTTTAAAGGACAATTTGTTTCTTACGTTCTGTTCATAACAATTCCATTATAAAATAAAAATAAAAATTGTAAAATAAATAGTCATGTACGATTACATAAATAAAAAGTGTAATACATACATTTTGTGTATATATATATTTTTCTGTTATTTATTTTCGTTGTTGGAAAATATTGTAATTTTCAAGATACAAAATTTCACATATCAATCCTATTTTTAATTAATATCTTGTAATTCATCGATCCACGATGAAATCTAAAAAAAATCAAATTTCATAGATTTTAAAGTCGAATTTTTTAATCATCCAGGAGTTAAAACAAAATTTCTGCCATAAGAAACTATTTCTGTATAATACTGGTACTTTTGACATAATTAATTAATTATTTATGACTAATGTCAATGCTTCCTTTTTTTCTTCTTTTTTTTTTACTTATTGAAACTTATTGGAACTAATAAATTAAAAATATACTTATTTGGACGTCTTATGGGCGAAATGGGGCGTCAAAGGAAAGCTAAGAATCTAACTAAGTAGGGGCAATCATGAAAGTTTAGAAATTAGTCACTTAAATTCATTTTTTTCGCAATTGAAAAAAAAAGAAACACTAGCCCCTCGTAGCGGTGAAATGGTGGAACTAATCGCTATCGCTGTCCTTGTCACACAGTGTTGCGCTCCTTGTCTGCGGATGGTGCTGCCATCTGAGCCACTCTAATTTTCATTGGAACTAAAAGGGCAAATTGGAAAAATTCGATAGATGGCAGCACGGCCTTCGCACCGACACTTAGTTCAAGCCAAGTTCGATAGATGGCAGCACTCGTGTCGTTGGTAGACAAAGACAATAGCGTGCAACGAGGACAGATATATTCGCGCGACGGACAAGGACAGTGCTAGTGTGCGACAAGGACAGATACATCCGCGTGGAAGACAAGGAGAGTAGTCGCGTGCGACAAGGACAGAGATAGATTTTAGTTCGACTGTGTCACCGCTACGCGGTGCTGACATCTCAGTGTCCGTAAATCGATCAATTTTTAGTTTGCGAAGAAAATTAATTAACATGACTAATTTGTAACATTTTACGATTGCGTCGTTGCAATTACACCCTCGGCTCTTCGCCTGTAGCCCATCTGACTTGCAGAATGTACATTTAAAAATTTGCAAATTTTTAATGAATAGGTCGAACCATTCGGTCGAGTAATGTTTAATTTTTGCCAGAATTCGATTAGAACGTTTGAAAATTATTCGTATATGTATGATTAGAGGTATGCAAACGAAATTTCGCACACAGTCTCGGACAGGAATCTTTATTTAAGCGATTAATTGTCATCAATTGTTGCGTGTCTGAATCAACGATCTATGTCACAGAGGAATAGTTTGTGAATCTTTTCAGGCGTTTCCAACGCGAAGCAGAGGATCCAAGGAAGATTCTCTGATTACGACAGCAGCGTATAATAATAATAATTTTATGTAACATTCTGTTCTTAATATGATAATTGACCGCGTATTAAAATCATTATTAACTCAATATGCTTATTTCTAAATTCCTGTAATAGTACAATGTTTGTAAACCTCATTATTCATTCGATTATGCGATTGAAATTTGGATGTCTCGTACATCTTTCTTTTTTCTTTCAAATATTCGCCTGACAATATTTAGACACTGGTCATAACTTTCACGTATAATGATTATTTTTTAAAATGTGTTTATTGTATTTTTCTTTTCTCCTTGACTATCAGAAACAAAATACCCAAAGTACTGGATATCAATACCAATTGCACATTTTGTGGATCATTATTTTCCCGAAATGATCCACGAGATCAACCGTTAGATAGAAAATCGCCAAATACGAATTTAACATAATTAACATAGCTAGTATAATCGATTGATATGTGATAAGTCATAGACATAATTTAATGTTTATAGTTGTCCCACGAGGGGGGAATCATCTGACTTTGTATATCTACAATTTGTCAAAGAAAGATCGTAGGGCGCTCTGTTGGCGAAGCCTCTTCGACTAAATTTCTCGAAACACCATTTTTCTGCAATTAAGACGAAAGGGGAAGAGGACGTTGGGATTTTTTTCTCCTTGGAAATTTCACCGAAATTTCGAACGAAATCCTGCGAAGAAAAGTGAAAATCTTCTTTACGTTTGACGAAGTGAAGTTTCCTCTTTGAAGCCGACGTGCGATCGTTTTTATCGCGCTTTTAACGAAAAGTGTCGTGTCGGCCGCCATTGAAACACCGGACCTAGAATATACAAGAAACGTTCCGCGTTATTACGCGTGTTACCGGTGGAAATGTGCATTGAAATTTCATTAACGCTACAACTGGACAGACGATCGTCGCGATTATTCGCAAGTTGCTCTTCGTGGAAGTATAATTTAAACTTTTGGTTAGAGGTTAGGTTGTCTTAGGTTCCATATTTCAACAAGCAGATGTTCGTTGCGTCGAGCAATCTTTCGCCTTTAAATGGTTAAATCGCTCCGTAGGCGATAGAAATCCTGATCAGATCGGTAAAATTTGAAAATACAAAGTTACAAGGAGTAGAGAATAAACGAGGTAGACAATAAAAGCTACATAACGCATTGCGGCTGCTCGAACGATCTCGCGTTCTCTACGAAGATAAATAGTGCATGCCTATTAAACATCTCGTAAATCTTGTTAAACGAAACTTTTGAATTTGTTCCAAGCTTCCAAACATCCTCGTTCGAACATAGAGTTCAACATGGGTAGAAATCAGTTTCCTCGTCCGTCTTCGTCTGAGCACAAAATCTTGCCGATCTGTATCTGAAAAGAAGAAGAGTCAAAGGCGACTCTTCCAATTACTCATAGGATCGGCTGAAACTAACGACGAGACAGAAGGAAAACGGAAACCAGGCGAAATAGAAGGGGGAAGAAAGAAAGAGAAAAAGAGAATAGAAAAAGGAAAAAAGGAGAAGACAAACGATATTCCCTTCCCTCTGCAACACGCCGCGCGAATTGGAAGGGTTGGTTCGCAGGCTGGTTCGCGCGGGTAAACGCGGATCGCGGATCGCGAATCGGGCGATTCGGTTCCGTGGAGCGAGACGCGTGGCTGGGGCCACGCGAATGGGCGTGGCCGGCCACGCCCCGCCACCAATGGCGCCGCGCGGCCCGGCGGCGGGGGGCGAGCCTTGGGAGTGGGGGGAGGGGTCGACGGTCGGCACGAGTTATTGAATTCGTCGAATTGGCTGCCAGTCGAGGAGCAAAAAAGACGGGTAGAGGCAGATAGCCGGATAAACGGCTGGCGGAGCAATCGTTTTATCCGTGCTACTGATCAATCTATTAACCGACTACGAAGCTCACGGATTCTGCGTAGCGGCGCGGAATGTAAAAACACAGGCGAGGAGGTAGGATGGTCGGAGTAATGCCTACTAACACTAATAGAGATTCACCAGGCTGTCGATGTTCACCGGGCAGCTGCTCGGTCATTTTGGTATTCTATGATCGTGGTACCGATTGACAGTAGTAACGAAACTAGCCTGATGCTAGGTAGGTTCAACAAAAAAAAAGAAAAAAGAAAAACTAAATATTGTAAAAAGAGAAGAATTTATTATGAGACAGAACTGTATCTAGTTATTCTGATAAAGTTCTGACACGGAGTCTTGGTACACCTACCTATTTGTTTGTCAGGTACCAGATTTATTTATAAAGATTATAACCGTAGCTACAACACGTAGAGTGATCGTTGCCTATTTATGACAAAGCAAGAGAAACCACGTGATCGGAAGGTCTAAAATCATACTACACCGTTACTTACACTATAATAATAGCATTCTTTATTTGATAGTGGTGCTTAAGAAATAGGTATAGACAGATGCTTACTGGCTGTATAGGGTGATTCATGTACGTAAACAGAATTATCCTATCGAATTATCCTATCCGTTTGCATTTAAAAAGATTAGGGCACGTTAAAAGAAACACGGATGGAAGAAATGGAATTTCCAATTTCACTTAAGACTGAATTCTTCTGTCACAGGTTGCTCGTAGCAATTTGATTTTTTTCAAACTTGCAGATCAACTTCAAGTTATGTAAATCATTTTCTACAAAGGTAGATTAGGTAAATTGGAACTTCGCACGATGCA